TATTATATGGAGTGACCCATATCTCTGTACATGGCACACTGCCAAAACCTGAGTTCAAATCAAATCTAGCATGAAATTGAAGAGACAATGACAACAAACCACACAGAGACGTTTGTAACAGAGCCTGTACGTATATTTTTTTTTCTGCAAAATACAAATACTACCACATTTCTGAGTGAGGAATTGCTGTACATAATTTGCGACAACAGAGGTGCACTTTATTTTTCATTGTCTCCAAGTGGCGACAAAGGCCAGCTTATGCCGCTAACAATCTCTTAGAATACCTAACTGGTGTTATTAGAAGCATTAGTGCATGTAAAGAGGGGAGAGTACAGCCCCGAGTGTACAGTTATAGTACAGAGGACATTCACAGATGTCGCCAAATAACAATAAAATTAAATAAAACTTTTTATCAGGGCTTTTGAGGTACAGATTAAACAAAGTCTCAGGCAGTTGCTAGTTAAAGAATCAAACCAAAAACACAAATAAACAGGAGTTTCCACAAGGTGTTAGTTTACACTCCAGCTTCCCTTTTGTGTGAGCTTCACCTCCACCCGACTCCAGCCAGGACGAGCTACTGGATCTCACAGCCTTCAGTCAGCTTTGTTACACGGGCGAGTCGGGCGCAGTGCATTCAGATCAGCTCGATGAAAAGATAAGGAGTGTGGAAGAAAACACGTCTGGGCTCTGCCCTTCTCAAAACACCTGTAACTAAACAGCAGGGCCTCTCACACTAGAACACCTACAAGGATCTGAACTGACTTGCAGATAGCAGACGATGGTCGAGGGTTCAAGCTCCAAATATACAGTTTTAAAACCAAAATATTCAAACGTGAACAACCCTCAGCCACGTCTGCCACTTCATAAATTACAAAAAAAAAAGTAAGTGGATGTTGCTCAAGCAGTCCTTCAGCTCGTCTGCTAATCCTCTGACTGCAGCTGGTGTCAGAAACAGCTGACATACAATTCACAAACTGTTCAGTCATGTCCACACATATGCAGTGGTGGAAAGCACATTTACTTAAGTACAATTTGAAGGTATTTGTATTAATATGCAACCTAAAAACTTTAGATTTCCAACCTTGTTGAACTGCGACAAATTAGGATCTAATTAAGGTCACGACTGGGTAACTAGCTTTGCTAACTGTTTATCGCAGTAATTGGCATTTTCTTTGGCAGTTTTTTGTTAACATATGCCTACAGATTAGAGCTGAATGATTTGGAGAAAATATCAAATTTTTCTGACAGATAGTGACATCTGATTTGCGACCTAACATTTTTAAAAGTCAAGCTTTAGTTTAATATTCACCCTGTACGAGTGAAAAACATGATGGAGCATTGCCACAAAAGATGCCACTGCTCCACCTGATGGTGCATCCAGGTACTACAGCTCCTCTGCAACACTGGACTGTGTATCACGATTAAAATGTTATCAGTACTGACTGATACTAAATAATAAATGACCCAGATTGAATAGGGGGAAAATAACTAAAAACTTGATTAGGACATCCTAAATAAATAACCATGTTTCCATTTAACTGTCAAGTGAATCGGAGGCTTTTTTTTATTTTTAAATCTTTACAAAAAAAACAAAAAAAACCAAACAGAAAATGTGAGTTAGTTTCTATTAGGTGCTCTGGAGTGAATAAAGCAGGCTGTGTTGTGTTGTCACAAAGCAGCACTGTGGGATACATGACTAATATATTGGTCATACGTTTTCTTTTGGCTTTAAATGTGCACTGTAGCTGCTCTTACAAAGTATGAATGATGTTTCATGCACTATACATACAATTAGAACATACTACTGTGTCATAACATCTTAAACTTTGACCACCACTGTCTGCAGAGTGAAGCTCATTAACACTTTGTTGAAAAAGTTAAGACCGACCTCCAGCAAGTGGGAAAACATCTTTGGAAAATGAAGGAACTTTGTTTTTTTTAAATTTTGTCATTTCTATTTACTTCCATTTATTGCGCATAAAAATGTGTCACTACTAAGTCACAGGGGACATTTTACTGCCAACTGACTACTTGAAAGTACATTTCGCTGGATTTTAAACGCAGGACATTGTTGCTTTAGCACCATGACTACTTGTTCCACCATTGCAAATGTATTTAATGAGTGAGGCTGTGCTCGTTGAGATTATTGCTGTGAGATCTTGTTGCGTCCGACACCAACGGAACAGCAGACAGGCTTCAACAGGGATTTATCATTTATTTATGTCTAACATTGAGCAGAATGTAAAATCTCCCTGAATGTCTAATACAAAACTGAGTGCTGCTCTTTATATTACTGTTAATAAATAGAACGGCAAACATCCAAAAATATCAATTTGATATAACAAGGAAAGGAGGCCTAAAGTTTTGTTTGAAAAACACAACACTATAAACTTTGTGCAGCAAAGCATCACCGTTCCATCAGTTTATGGCTTTTAGGATCCTCACTTTAATCTGACTGCTAATTCCTGCAAACTATCAGCACAAGCTAACTGTCTCTGTGCATAACAAGGACACGAGTGACGTGTCTTCATCACTCAAGTCGTCTGTTTGACAAATGAACTGGCTTTGTTTGTATTGGTAGGAAAATACCTGTTGTGTGGAAGCACATAAAGGCCAAATAATTCTGGATACCAAGTTGTGAAATGTAACCACTACAGAATACATACTGTTAGAATAAAGCCACCTGAAAGGAAATTATCTGAATACAGGTTGTTTGATTTGATCTCAATTTCTGAATTTTGAGTAAAAAAATGTTTTGCATGTATTTAAGCTGTTCAACTACACAAGTTCAACTATAAGCCAATTATTTAATTAATGTGACTGACAGACAACATTTTTTATGTTTAAATTTGAAAATATATAGATATTTTTTACATTTTTTGTGGCATAGTTACCAATACAAATGGGAAATAATGAGGAAAGAGATGCCCCCATCATGCATGATAGTCTTTCTTCTTCAATAAAGTATATTGGATATTTTAATTTAAAAAAAAAATCTGAATTTGTGAAGCCCCAAAATTGAAAATATTAATAATTGTTTTAATAACAATTATTAATAATTAGTTTTAAGCAATTACTATATATCTTGCACAAATTGGGGAGAAATAATTTTCTAAAGAAAAATCAAACCACATAAATTCAGATAAAGAGATATTTCAGTGGACTTGAACAGTATGTACACAATATAATGCTGATCTCCTAACATGTAAATAATTCTTAGTAGAGGGTAATTTTCACAACTTAGTTTCCTGTAAAATTGAATCATCACAGCTTCTACAGTTTAGTGTATCTGGATTGTATTCGCCGCAATTCTCACTTTTTCTAACTCGGCTCTGAAAATTATTCACTAACTCTGATAAGCATCTTCACATCAAGTGAAATTTGCCTGAAGCTTCTTTTCTATGCAACCTGTTGCACAATCACTTTTCTTTTAGTCACTGTAAACCCCCTCAGTCACAATTTCTCCATCTCCTTCTCTTCCTGCACTTACTCAAACTCTCTTTTTCCATCTGTTTCATTTGCCACACCTGATTTCCATGTTTAAGTGTGTCTCTATGTGCACACGTATGTTGAACCTGCAACGCTGCATGTGTAGCAGTGGACTGCTCTCACATGACAATAAACTCACCAGTAGCTTCATCGTTCAGAGTACCAGACTTCTTCACTTTCACCTTTTTGTTAGTTTGCATACATGTGCACATACAAGAATGTGCATTTTACATATGTGTTATTTACCTATATCCCCCCCTGAACACACACACACACACACACACACACACATAAAACAAGCAAATACATGTACACCGATGAACCCTCCAACTGCTTCAGTACATGCCGACCTGATCCTAGACAGGTAGTGTTTGTGGAAAACTTGTAAGAAATCATGTGAACTCATGGATCAAAACACTCTTTGGAAAAAAGTAGGAGCTTTTGTTTTGCAGGTAATTTCCATTTTAAGCACTTTTTATATTGCACTTCTTACTTCACTGCATTTATCAAATAGATAAAGGTACTTGTGAATTAAGCTTATGAGAATTTTAAAGCATTGTAAAAAAAAACAAACAAACAAAAAACCCCTGACCATTCAACTGCAACAATTTAACCTTTTGTTAGGTGAATAAACAGAAAATTGATCAGTTTAGTGATCAGGGAATTAGTCCGCAGCAGATTGATTGAACTTTTGAATACTTTTTTGTCCAAAAACAATTTTAACATTTTATGATTTCAGCTTTGTTAGTATGACAATTTGCAGCTTTCCTCAACTTAAATTGCAGCAAACTTACTAATTATAATAATTTCGAAGTTGGGACTGTTGGTCACATAAAACAACAGATGTCTCTGTTTCTTTCATCTGCTTGGTGGAAGTCCCAGCTGGACTTTTGTTCCTGTGATCTCCTGCTACTTATGTTAAAGATGACGTGTAAATCTAGTAAAGCAGTGAATACTGATTATTACTGAATATGTTCTTAAATTTTAAACAAATTTAATAAAAGACAGTCAGCAACTATGTCTCTAACCATGGA